GATGATGATGATGATGATGATGATGATGATGATGATAGTGATGAGAAGGGATTTTGCACGGTTAAACAGATCTGATCTATAGGTATATCATTGAACCAATATCAATTAAATTTTGCTTTTTCAAAAATTTATCCATCTTGATTTAGCTATTTTGACCAATTTTTCAACATATATTTTTAAAAAATATAATTCTCCAAGAAAATAAAATGAAAAAATTCAGGACTCTTACAAATGAGTTAGTTTAGACGATAGTTTTTTAATGGAAGTAACAATCGACCGAACAGATAATGTAAAGTTTTCTTCGATGGTTTTGCTATGAAAAGACAATAAACAGTACTATGATTGATGATAACGATTGATCATCAAGTGATATGTGTAATTAGAAATTAATTATTACAATTACAACTAGTAGTATTTAATCTTGTAGGAATCAGCTTAATCCAATAAATTTAGTTCAAGAAATAATATTTACCATCTATGTACAAATATAATTTAATATTTCTTAATCAAATTCTCCAAGTTTTATTTACAAACTGAAAAAAATATTTTAAGTAATATTTCTTTTTTTTCACGTTGTATTTTGTTTTTGCGTGCGCAACAACTTGTAAAATTGGTAATCCACTTTGACAGACTGATGTTCAGAAAATGTTTAATATTTTTCATGAGGTGCAACAGTTCTTAAAAAAAGTATTTTGTTCAAACGTTATTAATTGCATACAAAATTTCATAATCCAGAATTTATTTGATTACCTAAAATCTATAATGGATTATATGCTTATAGTCTACAAATTACTTCGATTTAATCAACTCTCAGACTGCTTCTTGTAAATCACGAGGATCCCATTTTGTGTCTGCAAATTCGGCTTATTTCAGAAATCAAAAAAAACTGGCATATTCTTACATATTTTCATGTTCAGAAAAAATCTATCAGTTATTCAAGGTGGAAAATTCAATTGCTATATTTATTTGTAATTGTAAGGATTTCAATTTTATTGAAATTCGAAGTCTAGGATGAGTGTTACATGTATCATTATCAATTGATTTACGTATTTCGTCTGTCCTTATATGTATTAGTTCTGTTAAACTGTTTTATAAAAAAATCGTTTCTTTTTTCTTAATCGAATCGGATAGCATTCATGATGGATTAATAGGCCACTTTGCGATTAACCACAAGGGTAAAGATGATGCTACGGAAACATCTGGCAACATACTGACAGCTCCAATGAATCTATGCCTTCCCTGTATTTCAAAATGTTTTCAAGATGTTTAGATCTGATGGAGATTTATGGGTCGGAAAAATTTACAGCCTTCTTTCTAAACGCTCTATCATAAAATATTTTTAACGATCCTTCATTGGTTTACAATAAATTCTAAAGTTTCTTATTTCGATACTTCCCACCTGAATTGACCCAAAGATCTTTTGACAAGCATTTCATTACTTCAAATATTAACAGTGATGATTTCACTGCAATAAGAACAACAACAATGACAAACAGCAGTAACAACGGTATTATTTTATTTACAATAGAAACAATAAAATGCAATAAATATTGCCATCATTGATCCCGTTTTATCTGCCTCGCTACAAGAAGATAATCCAATGTATACCTATTTTGATCAACCCTGAAAACTGAACAATAAATTTGTCAAAATAAAAATTCAGCAACAATAAATTCGTTTTCTAACAATAGAAACGATACTTGTTTATGTCACTTTTCACACAAGAACTAACAAAAGTTTTGTATCATCAACAGCCCATACAAAAATAAAATTCACTGGTGTTCAGAATAGATTGTTCGAATTTTTTCGTCCACAATGTTAATGATCTAAAAACTTTTCCTGAGAAGTAAAAGCTAAAAGAACAAGATAGTGAAAAGAAATCTCTATTTTAAGACTTACAACTTCGTTATTTGATTTACATAATCGGATAAACGTTGTTGTAGTGCGGTGAGGGAAGTTAAATTTGCAGCTCGATTAAGCTTTATTTGATATCCGTATTCCATTAGCAAACTTTTCAGCCAAAGCTGCCAAAAATGAATATGCTTTTCAATGAAACCATTAATGTTTTCAGCGAGCCATTTCAGTAATTTTTCTGCGTAAGCAACGGACAAAGAACGTGTAGCTATATCGACTGAAATAACACTCAGAAAATTGTTCTTTAAATTGAATATAATTCTTCTTTTTTCATAGAACAAAGCAATAAAAAGCAAGTGGCTCTACATCCAGCATTAAAAGATGAGGAAAAAAAGCAAATTGGAAAATCAAAAAACATGAAGCAAAGATCAAGTGAATTGTTTGCAAAAATATGGACTAACTCGTTTTTAGAGTAACAAAAACAAATTGATTTTTGAAAATCTTCTATATTTCTAAAGCTTGTTTATAAAAAAAACAACGTAAACTTACTCTGCGCAACCGGGGTACACAGTAATACATTTTCAATCATCTCTGCTTGATTCAGTTGCAATGCCATTTTCAGTGCTGCCGAATACTCTCTTTCCTTCAATGCATTTTCAACAGTAATTGGAGTCACTTGTATTCCAAGTTCAAAAGGATTGAAAAGATTACGATGATCAAGAGAGAAAACAGCAACACCTTCCGTTGAACAAACTGCAAAACTGCGACCTGAAAAAGAAAAAAAACGTTAATTATATATCTTTATTCTTGGAAAAAATTAATGTTGTGATGTTATCCTTAAAACGAATCATCTTATTTTGCAAAATTTCAAAAATATCCATAAAATCATCAGATATTTACCTGCAGGAGAGAAACTTATATCTTCAACGCGCATTTCTGGTCGAAAGCAGCGCTCCGAAAGATCTGAATGTCGAGTACCTGGGAGTTTTATACGTTTCTTGCCATCTGCTTCTTCTTCGCTATCGCTAGCGTCAATTAACATCATGTTACCGAATTCCGAGAAATTACGTCGATTTATATCCATCTAAAATCAAGCGCGTAATAATGTAAAGCGACAAAGATTTTCACAATCTTTAAAAAATAACATACCTTAACTCCATCTAAACTGCGATTTGTTGTTAATTTCAACTTTTTTACTAAAATACGTTCCGAAACACTATACAAACATATGTAATTCGATTGTCCAGCAGCAAAAAGTAATGAACCATCAGCGGAAAAACATATGCACGTGAAAGTTCTAAAAAAAATCGAATCGAATAATAAGCCATTACTGAAACACTTTTCAAGATTTGACTAAAACCGAAATTACCTGCTCTTTTCACTTGTTTTCTTTTTAATAAGATCAGTGGCTCTGCGTGCAGCATCGACATCAAGAGCTGTATCTATTGTACCAAGCTCCGCCGACGTTTCAGTTTCGAAAAGACTCACCGACGAATCAAGACATAACACCTGGAATATATTTTTTCTACAGTCAATTTAAACTAATTAAAATCAATTGTTCAAGAAGAAAAGGACTTACAGCGAGTATTTCACCACTAGGAGAATAAGCTACGTCAAGACCTTCATAAAGCAAATCAATGGATTCTGCTGCTGATGATTCAACAACATTCCATATACGAAGAGTTTTATCCCATGATACTGAGGCCAAATGTGTACCTGAAAACTCAAATTTTATATACAGTTTACTTGGAAAATAGATACCATCCATTTGATAATGGAAGAAATTTTACTTTTTCTTCTGTTTTATAATGCAAGGTCCTTCTATAATATCAGTCATGAACTAATATTGTGAAATTCTTCTCTTATGAGTCCAAATCTATACAGTGTTTCAAAGCAAGACTTAAACGCTGACCATGAACAGAAATAGAAGCAATTGGAGCTGAATGTCCAGATAAGACATCCAATAATTTTCCATTCTCAAGACTCCATATATAAATGTTGAACATTTCTTTAGAATTTGCCATCGCAAGTTCGGCAGCCGAATCAACCGCTAGACCGCCAAGCTGTGTCTTATCAGGACAAACCAAGGTACGGAAATTGCGATATCTGTAACATATGTTTTGATTTGTATTAAAAATTTATACGCTCATTAATCTTACCTTTAAGTCACTGAGCAAATTCTTTGATTCAACTAACCTAACTAGATCATGTGCTCGTATAGTTCCATCTAGCGATGCTGACAATAAAGCTTTGCCATCGGATGTCCAACAGACTGCACTCACTCCGCTGCTATGTTCGGTAAATGTTACAATACAAAATGAGGACCGACAGGACCAAACCTTCACCTGAAATTTTGAATTCTTCTAAATTTTTAAGATATTTAAATCCTACTTTTTTTTTAAAATTGAAAGCAAGTATTTTTTTTCTTTTGAAAGATCGTATTTAAAAAACGATGGAAACGCATGGGCTAAACGAAACCTTTCCATCCTCAGCACCGGTAGCAATTTGAGATCCATCGGGTGAATAGGCAACTGTTGTTATAGACTGGCTGTGTGATTGTTGCTTCATGACATAAGTTTCACTTTGCCACTCCCAAACCACTAACTGACCTTCTGTTCCTTTTCCACAAGCTATCGCTATCCAATCACCAGATTTATTTATAGCCAAAGATGATACCTTTGTTTCCGACACCCTTTATTTGAGAAAAGATTACAATCGCGCAGAAATCAAAAAACTGCTTATTGATAGTAGATTTACATAATCTCTTCTGTCTCAAGATAATGGTTATTTCACTACTTACACTTCACTGTGAATACAAGAAGAAACTGAAAGAAATTTGGACCTTCAGCTACATCACTTTTTAACAATAATAATCGCTGACACAGCCTACATACATAAGCAAAAATAATTTACCGTAAACTATAAATGAGATTAAAATTTGGCACTTCATGCAGAAAAAAAGCTCCATTTGAAAATGCGGTGATCAACAATGATGTTGGTGGATGATAGGTGCTTGCTGTGAGATTAACGCCATTTGCATTATCCAAATGTTCCATCATGAAATGTCTGAAGGACTTCGCAACAATCAAAATAAAAACAAATCGCCATAATCGTGATTTTGTCTAGATTAAACATAACTATAATTCAATACCAAAAATGTAAATAAATCACTCGGCGCAGAAAGAACGAAAGACAAAAGAAAAAGAGAAAAAATAAAATAAAAAGTCAACGCAAATCACAATAATGTCTTACTTCCTTTAATCTTACAGCGCAAATAAAAATCAAACCAAAGATTACCTTTTCGTTTTATTGTACCACATTTTCTTCACATCTTCAGAAGTATTTTTCGAATGTAACCCTTCAACAAAATCTTCTTGTTTCAGAGCACAAGTCCAGTGATTAGCTAATCCACGTTTATCAACTGATATCAACTGAAGGAAAATGAAAAATGCATTATCAGGATGAACAATTCAAAATACTTCCCACAGGAAAAGATTGAGTCATGACAGAAAATTTTGGAATTAAACATAATAAATGTAAGATTTAGTTACAAAACATTAACACCAGTATGATAAGAAAAGCGATTGCATCATCAATAAAGGACAAATCTCACCAGGATTTTATTCCGTCCTGAGTGTATAGTGGCTCAATTTTTTTAAAGAATTGCTTGGTGATGAAGTAAATACTACACCATTTTATAAATCCCATAGTTATTACTTCAGTTAACTCAAATTTTAAAATAAATGGAAAAATTTACATCATATGAGTTGTGGCAAAAATGACTGCCGATTACTTCTGCTTTATGTGCTGCCAAAGCATGCAGAAATAAATTTTTCAAACTATCCACAGCTGAAACCACTCGCACTTGCTTGTCTTCTGAACCTACTACCAACAGTCTAAAATAAAACAATAAAAGCATTGCTGCATAACACAAGGCTTCATCCAAAAAAAACTAATGCAGTAATCAATAAAAAAGAGTGATACGCTAATCTCAAATACTTCACAAAAAATTTGTTAAAATAAACAAATTACTTGTCATCGTAGCTCCACTCCACGTTTTTCGCTTTTTCACAAGTGATTTTATGAGTATGTAACAACATAAATGGATTCAATTGAAAATTCTCAATTCCTGCAACCAGAAATACCTGCACATCGCCACCTCGACAAGCAGCTAATCGTCTGAAAAAAAAGTTTGTTTCTGTAAAAAATGCTAATATAAGCTTAATTTCATTCTCAAACAAGTTTAAATATTTCATTTTTACTAAAGTATAAACCTGCCATCCATCGAAAACTTGACATCACTAACACGAGCTCGAAAATGATGTCGATACAGAACTGTTTGCGTAATCAAGTTAACATACTGAGCTTGTCCAGCTATAAAATAAAATATTATCGACAAATAATATTAACGTGAAGTATTTTAAATGAGAAAAATAACGCGGAATCTACATGGATGCTGAAAACAATATTGTACTGAAACAAAAAATTAGATAAAGAAGAGGAATACAACAAAAATAACCTTCATTGATCAGAAAAGCATATATTCCAGATGGATGGACTGTTACCAATTTAATGTTGAAGTTTGATTCGATGGCAATTGTATTTGCTTGATTGCTGTAAATTCAAAACCAAAAATTATATTTGGAAACTCTGGTATTTAGTAATCCAAAAATTATATTTGGAACTCCATTAACAACAATAAGAAAAACTGCAACATCTAACTTACTTTTTCAGATCAAATACTGTGACTTTATTACCAACTGGACTGATAACTGAATTGCCATCGGTTGAAAATGTAACGTTACCATCACGGTAAACAGTACCGATAAGGCTTGAGAACTAAAATAAAAACAAATTGGTTAAAGTATAAGGTTAATTCTGACTTGAAGTATATTAATCAATTAATGCAACTTTAAAGTTTTTCAGAATAAAAACAATTCTTGCATGCGAAATGGTTTTTGCAAGCAAGATTTACCAGTGCAAGCATGATATTCAAGAAAAATGGTTACAACTCCATATTTTAATCCTCTAAAGGTACCACAATATATTAATTTAAAAACTAACTTTGAAATTGATGCTCATAAATGACTGCCTTCCTCTTAGCAGAATTCGCCTTAAATGAAAGTTTCAAAGTAAAAAAAGCTAATTTCTGTGAGAGATACAACGATTAATAAAAAAAGAATCTGATGTTATATATTCAAAAACTGCAGAGAAAAATAATATGGTACCAGATTACCAACATAACATGTATATTTACTGATCTGATCCTTACATCCAACTTTTCTTTATTACTGTCAAGTATGAATAAATTAAACAAATTAATACATCGGAGAACAATAAAGCTCAGCCGGTCGAACAATAAGCCAGCATAAAACAAAAGTCGAAATCGAAATCGTACTTAACTCAAACGAATGTAGATACTTTCAGTGTATAAATATCACATTAATAAACAACACAGCTTATAAAGAGAGCATGAAGTCGAAATTTACAACAATTTATTCTTCGCAGCACTTTCTTTAATGAGTTCTACTTTCCTAATGGACCCTTTCTTCTTACTTCCGATAGCATCTAATAGCAGGCCAGTAAATACAACAACGGTGGCAAGAGACTGCCTCTGTGTTAGAGTATTACCAAACAAGATCACTGAACTGAGCATCGTAAATAATTTACGTGTTGTTGTTATAATCGAACAAGTCAATGGACCGAACTGTGTCACAGTTTTGAAAATGAAGAACTGAAAAAATATGTAAATTATTGTAAGAGATTGCTAAAACAATTGTAGTTTGTTGAAGCTAAAAAACCAGGTCTATAACTTTTCAAAATGAAAAAAAAAATTGTGGTTAAAAAAATGGTACCTGCCCCAGAGCACTTGCAGCGGCAAGGGTAAATAGTTCCATTATTACTTTTGGATAAGATTGTACAAATACCATGAAAGCGAATAATTCACCGGTCAGAAACACACCGATAAGAAGATATAATGAAGAAAATAAGTTCATATAAAACATCATAACATGAGCATTTGCCTTATGCTGCTGATGAATTTTATCTTGTATTGCGCCTGTGATACCATCCATTGCTAACGATAGCAGCTGTAAGTTGATACATTTTCGTCTTCTTCGAATGTCCAACTTACATCATATGAATTTGCATAACAAATAGGAAATATTTATAAATGCTATGGAATACACACTTCCCAAGATATTACATCAATTCCAATAACTAAATATAAAGCACTTTAAGATATAGCATGTTATCACGATACATTGGTCAAACCCGTTTATCAATCAGAATCTCATTGTAATCTACAAAAGTCACAATAACATACCAGTAACAGCTCACCAAAACCTAAATCGAAAGCAGATTTTCCACTTGTCACATTCGCTTTTTCCTTATATAGGAATAATCCAACACCAAACACAACCATCAAAACACAACAACATTTCTTCAAATGATATCGCTTATTAAAGAAGAGAAAACCGAAAACCATTATTGGTATTGGTTTACATGATTTACCCAGTACCTAGAACGAATGAAACTTAAGTGCAATAATATGTAGAATAAAAATGTGATGCGCTCTGTTCATTTCTACACAGAAATATCACAAACAAATCCTCCTTTCACAAGCAAGTAATCTAACCGCATTTTCGTAAATTGACGAAAAGAAGCTCATGAATTGTGAGCCAAATCAGCGACATGGGCAAGGAAAACTGTTTGTACACACAAGCATTGAAAAGAGGGTAACCTGTATCGGATATGATATGTACTGCAGCGCATGATTGCTTGTGAGCATTGCAAATAAGTAACTAGTGGATGCAACAGCATATATCCGTGTCGGAACACTATCTCTCGTTCTACCTCTCAAAATATATGCAAACATTGTATTTACAGCACATTGCACAAACACGAGTGCTTGTGTATATGTGAAACGCTCCTTACCATCAGAACCATATTTACCCTTTGTTCTGAAAGATTTAAAAGTCGAAACATATTTAGTTTTTTTTTTCCGGAATGTAAAGCATACATTTCAATCAGTTAATATTTTAAGTAGCATGCTTTCGAGTTCCCGAAAAAAATCTTTATTTCAGACGATAGTTAAGGGCCAAAAGCTTACATTGATTCTTGAATAATTCCAAACCAAAGATAACAAAGCATAGTGCCACCGGCACAGAATATTAAATTGGTTATTTGCTTCCATAGCGATTCATCCATGCAAACTTCGTCTCTCACTTTCTTGCAATTATCTGTTATTTTACACATTTCTTTCACCGATCTGAGAATCCATATATGTGCTTCTTTAAATACTGCTTTGCTAAGAGCCAAACGTTTGTTAATTCTACGCAATTTGATGAAACTATCACACAAATAATCACATATAATTCACTAACTTCACTAACTCAATCTACCCAATAAGAATTGATTACAAAAATGCTCCGAGATGACCAGTCCTCAGTAACAAACCAAGTAGGAATCATCTGTCAACAAAATAGTTAAATACTGTTTATATACTTACGGCAAAATTTATCAATAAAATTTATGTGTAAGCAAACTTTCCATTAACTTCAAAACATGAAACAGCATATTTCAGAATGCATAAACATGGAACTGAAAGTAACGAAATAGTTGAATAGACAAAAAGACTACGCCTTAAAATCTGTAACTTTAAGATCCCGAACAGTAGAAAAAGAAGAATTAAAAGAATGAAATGATAGAAAGTGTCAAATTGTAGTAGGAAAGATCTAAATAAATACTATATTCCACATTAAGCAAATATATCAAATAAATATAGCAAACATATTGCTACCAGAAAATAATATTAAAAAAGTATTATTTCTTCCACTAATTTTTTGTTTCGTATTTTTACCTAGCAGGAAAACATTTAAATGAAGAATGAAGTTAAATAGCAAAAGTGTATTCACTCCTTCATCACACCTCCCCCACCACATGTCATCACACTTTAGCTATTTGTTCCCATGCCGTTTCTTAATCCACAATTGATGTAATGAACTTGGCTACTTGCTCCCAAACCTTCTAGGCAGGGAGGAATAAAAACATTGTTAAAAACCAAAAGTACTTTACAGCTCAATATTTTTGATAGTTTTCCAAAAGTCGTTGTGGACAACGGTTGGTGACAGTTAGGATTGTTGGGATCAGGCCTGATAATGTCTTTTCTTTGTTTAATGTTATTGAATAACACAGACATAATATATAAAATTCTTTTGTCCATCTTGTCGTTTATTTCATTCTGTATTGCTGTACATTTCTGGGTCATGCAATGTTTCATCATTTTTACACAGATAATGCACTCGTAGCATTGCTTCTTCATTGTATTATGGAGATTATTTTCTTAAATTTTCTAGTTTTTATCGATGGATTTAAATGCACTTTTTATTGCTAACTAGTTAGTATAATTATAAATTTGTGAGTTGTAATTGTGCTTTTAGTCGAATAATGAAATTCCATCTGCTATTGATGGTTTTAGTTTTTATTACAAAATTAAATTTCACTTAGGTAATTTGTCTTGTATTCTGTATTTACTTAGATTTTTGCGGTAGGTATATTTTCAGATTTATAATTTAACCTACTCGATGGATGAAACTGACAATATTGTAATAGAAGATAATTGCCCGATAGGAGAAAACGATGACAATGAAGTGGTGTACCCAAAACAGAAAGTTACGCAGAGAAGTGCGATTTATGAACATGGATTTGAGACAGAAGGCGGATATAGTATCCGTGAAGGCAATACTTCCAAAGTTAAGCATGAGGAATCTGATTTCCCGGAGTCTGCATTAACAACAAAACATCATGGAGAAGTATTTGTAGAGAGGACATGTTCGCATTTTGAAATAAGTAAAGACGAAAATTTTGGTGCTGACGAGTTTGATGCCACTGGTGAAGATATTCAAGAAAATCAATGTAGTGATGAAAGTAATGCTGAGAACGTCATTGAGTTAAAGCAAAGCTCATCGGAGATATCTCAAAATAAGGTAACAATTTTGTTAAATTTATATCTAATATAATCTTCATTACTAACTTTGCTTGAATCTTATTTGACAATGAAAAAGTTCTGAGAATAAATTCCAGAATCGTGCTTATCTGTCATTTACATTTTTCATAACTGAAAGAATTCGCTTTAGGTTGTGGAAGCCACGCATGATGGTCCTGAAACAGCAGAAATTCGAAGTGTTTATAATGCTGGAAAATCTCATTCACAAGGTTAGTTAAAAAATTAAATTGGATTGGATGAAGCAGAAGGAACAAAGTAACTGAACTGAGTTTTCTTTTTTTTATTTTAGTAAGTTAGTTCTATCATTTTTAGAAGGCTAATTTCAAAAACAGTTTTTTAAATAAATGTCCAATATTATCAAAACGTTTGGTGGTTACTAACTATCTTTAACATGTAAACTGGTTGTGTGTTAGGATATCTGCTTCAGTTTGTATAAGGAGAATAGACTTAAGATAATAAATTTTGAGTGGGATTCAAAATTGTATGAATGAAAAAGTAAATTCAACTTTTTGAAAATTCTATCCATAAATGAAAAGTGATCTTAAAGCTAACAATTATTTTGTCTCATCCTTTGTCGTTTTACTTTCAGGTCCGAAACATTATATCCCTCCAGGTTGGGTTTATCATGGCGAAAGTGACGGGCATCGATATTATATAGGTTGTGCAGGAGAGGTAAGTGTTATTGCTCATCACTCACCGTTTTTATCAGTTTTATTTTTTTAAATCATTTAAAAACTTCAATTTTTTTGTTTCCAGCTTGCTAGAATAAAAAATTAAAAAAAAATGATATTTATGCAACATAATGTTTAGTTACATTTTTTGCTTGCTGTAGTGAGCGGTCGGTTGGTCATGCCTTCTTTAACTCAGAGACGTACATACGACTAAATTGTCAATAATTTCTAGCTAATATTTCTATGTGACTATAATTTTTTATAAGTTAAAAAAATCGAAACGTTTTCAAGCAGAGTTTCTGAGAGGTCATCACTGAATCTTAGTATCTTTTAACAGTGTAAGATTATTAGTGGTTGATAATTTCCTTTTGCAGGGGCTGTCGGACGTTTAAATACAATACAAGATTTAAGAACACTTTGTTTTATTGTTGTCTTTTTCAGAAGACTAATAATATATTTCACATTCATAGTGCAGTCGTCTGACTAACTGATCGAACATTCTTGACATCTAGTTTTAAATGTAATTTAAAACTCCTATAGAGGTTTTGAAATGTTTACAATATGTTATAAGCAATATAGCATTCTAGCAGTATTTTCAGAATATAAAAGATTTTTTCTAGATGTATTCAGTGGACAGAGATGGTTACTGGTACATGCAGGATAGCAGCGGCAATTTCATCCCATACAACGGTTACCAATATAATCGCGGAGCGCACAGCTCCTTGTTTCCACGTGATAGTCAAGGACGGTTTATTTTACCAACCAATGCACGTGGTGAAAAAGCTTTTCCAGTGGATACAAATAACATGCCAATTTTTCCGTTCGACACAATGACTCATTTACCTACTTTTCCTGTAGATGAAAATGGGCAACCCGTATTTCCAACTAGTGCTCTCGGAAGACCCATTGTACCGGTCGATACAAACGGTAATTCATTTTCGTTAATAAATTTAAAAATTAGCATTTTCTTCGTCAAGCATTAGAATTCTTTCCAGATTACTGTAAAAAATATAGTTTTTTACTGCATTTATGGTAACTGTTTGTGTACTGCAATAGTTCTGTCGAGAAGTTTTCTCGTTAGTTTTTTCACCGAGTTGCAAAGCTGGGTGAAGCATATTGCACAGTGTGCGGAATTAAGCTTTTGACAGCTGCAGCATAGAGCATTTATAAGTTTTTTTTGTTTTAGAACATCTTGTGGACTAACTTTTTTTATTCTTTTAGTTTTATTTTTTTATAAATTTAGTTATGTTATATTCAAATAAGGCCAAATGTAGGGGTCACCGTCGCTATAGGATTGTTGCATACAAATTTCACAAGATTGGTTGATAGCTTTATTAACAGCAGTGGTAGTGATAAGGCGATAAAAAGTGTTAAAAATCTGTGTTTACTTTATGCCATTAGTTGATCTACATGCTTAAATTAACTGAAGTGATGCTATGATTAAGATTTTATTGTTAACCTTAGTGAGTTACAGGCCTGGCTATATTTCCTCGTGACGCAAATGGTCGGTTCATATTTCCGTCTGGACCGAATGGCAAGCCTACAGCACCTGTAAACATCTATGGTATTACTTAATATATGGATTTTTTCTAATTATGAACAGCTCATACTAAATCCTATCATCTCTATATTGAAATAAATTATGTTAAAAATTGACACTTTATCACTCTTATTTTGTTTAAAAAATTTCTTATAGGGATCCCAGTAATGCCGTTGGATGAACAAGGCAAACCAGTAGTACCTTACGATGCGAGTGGAATACCTCTCATTCATTTGGCCAGTGATGGTAGTTTTGTCATCCGTGTTTCTGTGTTTTTTATCATGAAAGATTTCAGCTTATTTTTAGCCTTTTCAGTCTACGGTTAGTTTGGGCAACCAAAAACAACAATCAGAAGAATGCAGTCAGTGCTACTATAGCGGCGCGTATTGCATCACTACAGTCATGTTCTGTTCTTCCTTTACTGTGATTTGTTTTTCGTTGTAAATTCTTTTCTATGAAAAATGGAGCAGAAGGCACTGAAAGGAATGAAAAGTACTAGCGTAAATTGGCATTATTGGTATTTGGCTCGATTTGTAGGCATAAATCGATGTTTTCTGTGATAGAACGTGGAATCGAGCAAATCAATGATGCGCCCCGAATGTTGCTCGCCTGAGCCGAAACTCTCTGAGGCTGTACTGTATCGGTGCCTGAAAAAGGAGAAAAGTGGTAAAACGAAATTAAATACGACTTAATGAGTAGGCTTTTGTTATCATTTTGTAGTCTTGCTACCATTCTATTTTGCAGGTATAACTCCTCTTACCGAAGAAGAATACCAGTACTCTTTGCAGTGGAACTACTATTACAGCCGTTACTATAAGAATACTGCAGAACAAGTTTGTCACCTTTAATTTTTAAGTTGAATATAATAGAAAAACAAGTTGAATTTGCAGGATTGCTGGAAATTTAAAATTATTTTAGTCGTTTCACGAAATTTTTCTTCCATGCCTGAGCTATTATTCAAACACCGGATTTTTGAAAAAGAAGCACCATATCGTTCAGTAACATGTAATTAACCCTTGATTGGGTTTTCCCAGGTTTGGTCTCTCCTGCAGGTGGCCCAAATTTTTGCAGGCCTTCACAATAGGAACTGTTGGAAATGAGTCATTCTCTAATTTGACGTTACCCAACCGCTGCTGTTCTAGCACTTCAGTAAGTGTGGTGGTCCGGTTTTACGAACTTAACAGGTTTTAGAAAGTTTCTTCCACCTTATTTTGTGTTGTTAAACTATAATTTTGAATTGTGTATAATTTAGAAAATAAGCGGTTCAAGTCAGTCTGTGGCACAGCTGACGACTACGGATGATACGTATGAACAAAAAGCGAAGAATATGAAATTGCTGAAAAAGGTAAGTTATCATGCTTGAAAAAAATCTCATGCTTGAAGAGATATTAGTAGAAAAATTTTAGTTTGATTTCCAACTTCAAAAATTTCTTGTGAATTTTTATCGAATTCCAGGTTCGGCCTGAGGACATCGATTTGCCACCATGCGTGCCACCTCCACCATCAACACAGCCTTCAGCTTTAGTTTCGGATGGATCAGCTTTATCTGAAGTGGAGAAAAAAACACCTGATCCTGCTTTGAAAGCAAAGACCAAAAAAATGATTGAAATGCAGCTAAAATTCTCACGCAAAAAGTTACGTGATGCAATTAATTCTTCAGTTGCAGTACTGCCCTCCAGTGAAATAATGAACACATCCGTTGAGCATGCACCGCAACAACCGAGCGACTCACCGGAAAATATTGACAAAATAGAATCACCAAAAGAATGTCCTCCTCCTCCTCCGATTCATGTTCCAACTCCAGATCCGCCTATACGAGCAGAACCTGATAATAATATGGGAATCAAGAAACCATTCAATGTAGCAGTCGATGGCACGCCGAAATCACTGGATTCACAGGTCATCCAAAAATTAAACAGAGATTCTAATGGTGATTCCGGAATAATGGAGACATTGACGGAACCCATTCCAATCATTCTAAATGTATCAGACACTGCAGTCAAAACATCAGTTGATATCACGATGAATTTTGAAAATCCGAAATTGTTTTCGGAAGCGAAAGTTGATGAATGTATCTCTGGATTGAAAGATGGAGAAATTACTTCTGGAAAGCAGCCAGAACTTGCCTTGACAGATGTTGCAGTTAAATCGAATATTGCTTTGGGAAAGCAACCTCACGATAAAAAAGATATTGAGGAAGAAAAGGTTCTGTTATGTTTATCTGTACTGTTATTAAAATTTCTGTGGAAGTTTAAGATTAGAATGCTTTTGAAATGAATAATTTATAAAATGCTTCAGGAATTGTGTTAGAATTAAACAGCGATTTTTAAAGATATATCAACTTATTTTATATTCCATCATTAGTTCATTGCTATCCATCTAAAAGGAATACCGGTGAGACCAACTGAAATTACATATTTTAGATGGGAACAAAAACTCGATCACCTGTTGGTAATAATTGTGAGTCAAAATTGGAGAATCAGATATTGCAAAAGCATGATGATAAGAATGAATCTATTTCGGCTTCACATGAAAAACGTTCTGAGAAAAAAATTCATCATCGTAATGGGACGAAAGATAAAAGAAGACGAAGAAGGTAGGTTTTAAGCTTACAAATTTCTAATTGGAAGAATTGCTTTCTGTGAAGCAGTTCATTCGAAGAAAGAAATTAATTTCTGCAACTGTTACCTCTGTAAATACTGGTAGACCGTTCATTTCTCTGAAAATAAATTGTGATAAACCGTCTGGATTTCAATAATGAATGAATTTTTAAGTGGGAGCAGAGATCGACATTCACGAAGTCGATCGTTATATCGTGATTCACATCATAGAAGCCGTTCCCGAGGGGCAAAACATGGAAGTCGAACTCGAAGTCGTACACCACGTGATTATTACTATCATAGCAAATATCGTTCTCGAAGTCGAGATCGATTCTATAGATACGAGGGTTTTTCCTACGACCGTCGTAGTTATCGACGTTATTGGACACCTGATGCTGAAGATAGATATTCGTATCGAAGACGACACTCCTCATCTAGAGGCAGATCATCAAGACATGAAAGGTCATACACTGATTTCACCGTTGTGTATATTTTTGTAAATTTTTATTTAGCATAGCTATATCATTATATTACTTTGTTTTCCAATGTTTTAAACCGGTTTGTTTTTCTCGAACCCAAAACATCGATTGGTATTAGCACCAAATTTGATTTTTAAAGAAAATTTTCCTGATATGTTTTTGTTATAATTCACTCATTTTTGTAGGTTATATTGATTTTGATTGTATACTCTGAGTTATTTATTGTAAATTAAAGCAATACTTTGATTCTTCAGTTTTCGAAAAAAAATCATTATTAAATTTACAGGAGTGCAAGCCGAGACATAACACCAACAGCTGACAAATCAAGCAGAAGCCATAGTTATTATGAGCGATCAAAAAGTCGTACTGAATCACCAATTGTTTCACGGCATTCTTCTGGCGCACGTTCGATTTCTCAATGTAAGACCACGGATAGTCGCAATCGAAGCTCCAGTTGTCGTAATTCTCCGGGTAACATTTCACGCTTTCAAATCCATAAAATCTATTAATTTTTACTAAATGTAGAAGTTAGCTAATTATTTTTTTTCCAAGTTATATTTCTGTAAATTCTGCAATCCGAGCAAATTATTTCAGAATATGATATTCCACAAATAGAACGTGAATCCGAAAAGTCGCCTTTGCAACGAACTGAAAATCTGGAATCCATTGACAGTGCAACTAATATGCACAAATCATTTCATCATTCAGCAAGTCCTCGCAGAGAAAAGTATACTTCTCAAATTTACAGTCGCATGCTACACAAACTTTTATTTTAGATAACTTATTTACAACTCAGGTCGAATGAAGATATAAGGCCTTTCAAAGAGAGATCTGATATGTGGAGAGATTAACAGGCATATCCATGAATGATGCAGAGACGAAGTCAGTAAAGAAGATAAAATCTTTTAACTGCAAGTCTTGGAAACCAAAGTGCAGATTTGTTCTTTTTTAATAAAATTGTCATTTTTCAGGAATTTGGTAAAAGGCCTCGAAGTTAGAGCTGAGAAACTAAAGAAACACAAGAAAACAAAAGAAAGGCATAGAAAAAGAAAAAAGAGTCACCACAGGAAGTTAGTTACAGTAGTTATAAGAAGTGACTTTTATTGTTTATATTTAATTCCATTATATCATTATATCCATTTTTATAAAACTTAGTAAATTTTCCATGGCACATAGGCATTCTTTGCATGCGCTAAAATGTTAATCTTTAGAAAGGATAAGAAAAAGCCAAGTCCGGCTGAAAGCGAATTAGATGAGAAATGTAAAGCGTCATCAGTACTGTTGAAAGAAATAGATTTGGATCTGTAAGTATAATCATTCTACGTGTTGATTCTTGTTTATTTTCAAGTTTATATTTTTTTCAAATTTATCACTGACTCATTACCATTTTTAATGTTTCTTTCAGATGTATAAGCAAAAAGCCCCACAGTATGGGGCTTTTTGCTTATACATCCTTTTTGCATTGAACTGTGGTAGATTTATTTATTTTAGGAATGCATTGAGACAATTAGCAGATGAAGGAACAGAAGAAACAGGTGCCAACAGAAAAAAAGAATCCATTGATTGTAAAAATGTTAGAATTATCGATCGGCTTTCTTTTATGTAATGATGGAATCACAAATGACAAATGATACCTTAATTTTTAAATTCATTTAGGAAAGGATGAAAAAGAAGAAGGAGAAAAAAAAGAAGAAAGAGCGTCGCAATACTAGCACGGAAAAAAATGACGTCACAAAAAAGGCCTCACGCGAAACATTGGAAGATGGCGAAATCATCACCGGGAAAGACATGTCACCAAAGTAATTTTTATTTCACGAACTTTGTTCATGCTTTTTTCTTTCTTATCATCTATCATTCCAATCAGCTATTGTGAGTCACGCCTAATCAATTTCCTGTTCAGTGTTGAATATCAATGAATTCAGTCATACAAATTGTGCAGATGTCGAATAAGAATTTGATTAAATAATTACTCATTTTAAAATTTATGGTAGTTATTCATTTAATCATTTTTCCATTTAAACCAATCCAATCGCTTTTTGTTGACGAAGTATGATCTATTTCAGAGCGAGGGAAAAAGTAGTTAATTATGGTACATCTGAGTCAGAAGAAGAAAAAAATAGTACGGAGGGACCGAAAAACCCTGCTGAACAGCTAATCGAAAATTATAATACAAAAGTGAGTTTTTGTGAAATTTTGTGGATCTGTCATTAATTGATTAATTGACTTTTCTTCTATACATTGATGATTGATGATTTAGAATTGCAAGTTAATTTAGATCATTTAACAAGTCTTTTTAAGAGATAAAGAACAATAATTTAAGTAAAGCAAAAGCTATCTGTTCCTTATACTGATCCAGTGCAGTTAGCTTTTTCGTCGTTTAGAGAAACGATTTAGATTCAATTAAAAATATTCTCACTTGGCTAGAAACTTTCATGGAGTTAACTTTTCTTGCAAGAGCACAAGAGTTAACTAGAAACAGTGGTAGGTTGTAAAGTAATGGTTTCTTTTCTGCTTTTTCTGAAAAAATATTCCCTAGGGTGTTCCTCCAACGATAAAATTAACAGCGAACTCTAAAGCGACAGAAAATTCTACCAAATTTGAAGAGGATGCTGGCATTATTCGGTCGTCGGTTTTGTCGTTTGGTTTTGTTGATGAAGTGTGTTTTCAGTTGGTTTTTTATAGCACCTTTTTTCGCTTGAAACTTTTCTTGCTAGGTTATCTTCTTTCGCAGAAGAATAATTCTTGGAATAGCAGTGAATCAAAAAATCTTTACGTGCATTTTCTGCTATATACTTTGTTTACGAATATGATCAAATAATTTTGCATTTCAACAAAAGCTGCATCTAATTTCGAATTTTTGAATTCATTATTTATAAGATGAAGTATGATACCAACTATCCTGCAACTTGTTATAGTTACTGAAGGTTCCTGCAAATATTGCCAATATGTCAAAGTTCGAAAAGAGCGTGAAATCAGATTATGAACCGATAAATCCTAAGAGAGAAACGAAGATTACAGTGGACCTCGAAGACGATGGGTAAACTAATTTTCTAGTTTGAAACTAAGACTACTCTTTTATATTAAATTCTTTGTACTTTTTAATTGGAAGTTATTGAAAGCAACTAGATTTGTTTTGGTTTGAAAAATGTTATTAGACCATTTTCAAATATTTGTAGGATTTCCAGTAAACTTAAAGATTCGACCATCGATTTCAACGAAATTACTGCTCGAGAAGCAGAAAAACTAAAAGCGGGTAATATCACGGAAGCAATGAATAAATTGAAGGAACTGCGTGGGTATGTCACATCGAAAGTGACAGTTTCAAATTCGGCCACTGAAACGGAAGTAATAAAACAATTTAACAGAGCAACTGGCAATGATTCCACATTTGTTGGCCATAGTTTAGTCAATGTTCCGTTACCAAAAGGAATGCAAGTAGCAGTTGATGTTACTGAACGAGTTGGACAAACTGCGACATCTAAAGTTCGAACCCAAGAAGCATGTACAAGTGCTAAGATCGATTTGATGGATAGAGATGTGAGGAGAAAAAAAGAAATGCTTAAACGAAAATGGGAAGAAGATGAAGAAGATGAGTTGAGCAGATTAAGGTATCACAGCCAAAATTATTTATTTGTTGTAACTTGATAGATTCAAATCTTTGTATGAATGTGAGTTCTCCTATCAAAGAAATTATTAACTTTAAATGCCTTTCAGATATGAAGCATTGCGAAGCAAAACGCGAAGGTTAATGAATGATCTAAAAGCTGAACGGCGTCGCTTAAAAAGAGAGCGCCTGCGTGCTACCATCGCAATGCGACGAGCTCGTGAACGATCGGTTGGTGCTAGTGTTGATGAGATTTTGCTTGCCGATACTTCCGATAGCAGCGAAACAGATGATTCCGAAGATTATTCATCCTCACATAAAGTTGGTTTAGATTGCTACACTTTTATTAAATGTCGACAGTTAGAAATTTGGATTGCTATCATAGCTATTCTTTTAATCAAGATACTGCCACAAATAGTACTCTTCCAATAAAATATGATTGATTACGTTAAATTTAGTTTTCTGATAAGAACCTAGGACTAGTTGCAATCTGTCAATGTTAATGCCATTATCCGGAATGATTGATTATCCAACATCTCGAATCGAATATGTCTGAATACATAATTGGGAATAAAACTGGCCACCAATTTCCCATAATTGGATGTCACATTTTTTAATCTAAAAAATCATTAAGATTATGGATGTATATGTTTTAGGATTTTTAAGATTAGTTATACTTTCGGGAAGCAGTAAGAGGAAATTTCATTTCAAGAGCCTGTCAAGTGGAAGGTTATACATAGTATTTTGGACCATTACATCTCGTGGATTTTTTGTTTCAAAAATTTGTAATCAGTGCCACACCATTGAGAATAACGTGGTACGAATTAATTAAGCATAAGGTGTTATTCATATGGTACCGCTAAATATTTTGATGTTATTCTTCATTTGATTTATCTCAATCACTGTGTTGCAACGTTACTAAAATCTCAGTCGCTGTGTGAGCGGTGTGTCGAAAAAGAGAAAAAATGAAGTCCATTTTTTACTCAGTTGAGTGTTAATTTATTGCTGCTGTTTGTTACTGCTATTGTTTGATGATATTTTATGTGCTGTCGTCAAAGGAAGCCGCAGTACCAACGGATCATGAAGCTTTGATTTGATTGTTTTAGGCCATCCAGCTGGCCGGTTGACTCACTGACTTGAAGTGAAATTAAATTAAACTTAAAGTGAATGAATGCGGAGAAACATTTAAACTCTGTGCAGTCTTGCACATATGTATAAATGTTTTGTTTCCGTTTAACAAATATAATCTAAGAAATTGTTAACACGTTCCGTATAGCATCTTTTTTCTAATGTTTTGTTTAAATGAGATATGAGAACGATGTAATAAGACGATGAGTAAAAGAATGAAAGCATGGATATGCTAATGGTTGGTAAGTCTAAGACAGATAACTAAGGATTTTAAGATTATCTGGAAATGAAATTAACTGGATTCTGAATATGTTAAAAAAAGGAAAAGTAAAGCTTTCTAGTTATTAAATGTAGCACTGTTGGATGTGTCACCTGTAGTCATATGAGTTTCTTCAAAAGGCATTTCTAGTTATATTTTACGTTTAATTTTTTTGTTCAAGCTATTATTAGGAATAAAAGAAATAAGATAAAAAGAACAGATCTTAAGCAATTAGCAATCCCATATCTAATAAATTGAATCTGACATAAGGCAAGATTATCATTTATTTTTCTGAAATTTTATTTTTCTCTACATTATGATTTGTTCTCGGAAGATGATGGATATCGACAACTTTGCTTTCTGCATTGAATTTCAAAAATTACTGAAGTCTGTGTGTTTCGTTTAATTATCCGTAAATCAGCGGTTGCATTGTAGCATATCTGTATTTTTAAGATAATCATATATTAGAGAACTCATTGAAATGGAACAATTTATTGGGGAAATTGGCACATTTCTCGTCTCATCATCTCCCAAATAACTACTGCTATCGTGAAGGGTCATCACATTACATTATCCGGAATGGGTACTGCGATTTTGTTTTCGCCGATCATGTGCCTTTAAGCTTTTCACTCATCTTTACTATAATGCCATTTTTATTCTTTTTACCCTGCACAGCTGGTATGCTCCAGTTTCAAGCACAAACCATTTCCTGCGTTCTGTGGTGTCATTTTTTTTCAAACAGTTTCGTTCTTCCTATCACGTTACATCTGTTTTTGAAATTCTGTTCTTTGGGATTTGTAAATTTTAAAGATTAAGGTTGTGATCTCTCATATTGCATCTATCGATAATAGAGAAGATATTCGGAAATGGTTTTGGAAGTGAACTTTGAGAAGATTTTTTCCAATGATTAATTTACCTTTAGAATTAATTCTCCAAATTTCGAATTTATTATTTAAGGTGATGTCTTCTAACAAAGAAGATAGATTATTGGCTATTTTGGAAATTGTATTAGCAACTCTCCTTTCTTATTAATATTCCGATTATTTCCATGCATAAAATTACTGCATTGTTATACATGATTGTTCTAACCATCTCCCATTTCTTGAATTATTGCTTTACACTAAGATCTCAATTACAACAGTGCGATTTTAATGTTTCAGATGTTAGCATCAGTTATATGAGTGGAATATTTACTGATGCAGAAACTGATGAATTATCTTACCATTTGAAAAGAGGTATTTGTTTCACCTACTCTTTGTGGAGCGGTAATTTATCGCATAACTCTTTTGCAAATATATTCGTTCCACTTATCATTTGAATCGATTGTCAGTCATTGTACAGCATTTGTTTGTAATCCCATATTTGCTACTACCCATGTCGATGATTCACTTTTCATCTTGTTATAGTAAAGAATGGATCAGGAAGGTAATACGTTTTGTCTTTCTGATCTATTATTTGTTATAACACTTGCTTCTAAAAGATAATTCGGTCCTTCTTGATTTTATTATGGAAAATTTTTTTTGATAGAGAGAAAGAGACTGGTCTCTAAAAATAGTGCCATTATCAATTTCGAGGACAGTGCCGCTCTGGAAGAAGCTTTTAATCAAAATGTTGGAGAAAAGGAAAACTACCCCGTTAAATGCTTTAATTTTTTAGCCAGTAAATGTGGGGGAAGGTAAATGCAACTTCGGCCATACATTTGCCATTCATTATTGCTTGTCGAATAGTTAAAGAAGTATTGGTTCTTAACTGATATTTCACTACAGTGCTGATTTATTTCGGGATATCTTCTGAATTATAAACTAATAATCATCGGGACAGTACCAGTTTGACTCTTTTTTTTCGAGCGAACACTTTGCTATTGTTTTATCAGTTCTAGCTTCTGATATTCCAATCTCTTTCTGCTTGCCGTTCATACATTATCAGTTTATAAAATTGGCGCTCATTCTGTGTTTTTGATTGGAAAAGCTTAGAAATTCTTCTAGATGAAAAAAACTCTAAAACATGTGGACAATTTGTGATGATGATTTCACTCACTTTTTCAATCTTTTCTCTCGCTACCGTACCCTTTTGCTCATCATCGCACCATCTACTATCACTATCATGAGAAAATAGATTAAAGGTTCTTTTTGTCCACCCACATTTTCAAAGAATTTCATCTCTTTTTACCAACTGCTTTTAAACCACTTTTTTCAATTAATTTTTGGGATATTGATTCGAGTACATTTTGCATTCCTTCTTTTTCTCTGATTTGATGATTTTTTCTGAATTTCCTGTTTTTCTCTTCCATTATCTGACAAAATGCTTGATGCATAATGTAAACTTGCATTTATTGCAGTTTCATTTCTTTGTTGTTCATGTTTTTCACTTTTAAAGTTTGTTCCCCTACTCCTGTGGAAATATCCAATTTTACCATACTATTTGTTACCTTCAAATACCGTAGTATATTCACAAGATATATTTGCCTGTTTCTAATTTTTGTCACTTTGAAAGGTATATGTGGAATGGTGCTACTGTATTATTTCGAAGTATTTTCTTAAGAAAAAATGTAAATTGTTGAAACATTAACAAATTTTTGCCATTGGATGTAGAGAATGAATTGTTTGGATGTTTTTAACAATTTTTTGCAATTTTTCCTAGGATTAAGGTCATTATGGTACGTTCTTGTCTGCTTGTGAAAGTTATAAACAGTGTGTAAGGTTTATGACATAGTTGATCGTTCATTTTATTTTTGTCTACTATGATAATACTCTCACTGAAAAAATATATAAGTGACATAAGGGATGCCTCTATATATGCGAAGTCGAATTATCATGCCTTTTTTAGTTTTGGGCCATTTTTGGCAAATTTTTTTTCCTGCATCGGTAATTTAAACTATTGAAGTTGGCACTTGCGGCAACAAGAATTAAACATACTCTCTATCTTTCGCCCAATTACAGATGATTTTTTTCAAAAGATACTTATAATGGCTATAATTGTGGGTTTATGTATTAAAAGTAATGAATAAAAATCAGTGGTCGAGAAATAATTAATCCTTCTTTGTTTACTTTATTATTCTTAGTTCTTCCTCATTAATTATTATAATTCGCGGA